TGGTGTGTGAACTGTTAAAATATACAGTTGTGTTTTTAGAGGAAGACTCAACTATTTATATCAGCTACCCTATTGTCCCTAACCAGAGGTCCACTGTAATCTTTACTGCAGTAATCAAACTAGAGGATTCTGTCAATGCACCATAGAAGCTAGGTTTGCTAGGTGTGACATACCTATGCTCAAAAAGAGCATAGGCATTGAAATGCAGTTCAAGACATCATGGTTGGGAACAAGACATGTCGTCACAACCTAGCAGGAGGAGAAACTTTATAGCAGTGGTTCTCAACATTTTCTGAGCCAGCATCCCCCTATCCATTATCCAGGTCCCTTACCGCCACCCCATCAAAGAGGATGTAGGCTACTAGCACTGAATATTCAGTGAGAATGCATTATTGCACTCTCACTGTTTCTCTTTATTATTATTCCGACTTCCGTACATTTTTCTGTTTAACATGCTCACATTAACTAATTTTACTAATTCATATATTAAAACATTCTGCTTCTTCTGCCGAGTTATGCTACATCTTTTGCTAAATTGTACTATTGTGCAATTTACTATTGTGCACTATTGTGCTTTTTGAAATATTGGCACTTTTGTGAAAATTACAGCCCCATTAGAATTGAAATTCTTCAAAAGTCCACAAAATTGTAAAATCTTCTAATTTGTCACATCTTACTAATTCTGCCTACTTCAACATAGATACGCCATTCAACTTTTAAACAAGTCACAAGGCTTTAAACTATCTATGTCACAGAAGTTTCCCCAAAAACGTTTAATTTTATCTGCTCTGAGGAAATCTTGACGTGTCCAGAAAAGAGTCAATGGTATGATTGATGGTTGCAAACAACCTGGAGACAGGATTCATCAGCAGTGCTTCTTCCATCTCATCAGCTTTGCTTTATATCCTAATAATCTTGCACCTACCTCCACCTGAACAAATGCCAGGTCCCAGCAGATTGCAGACCAGCTCTTCAATAAACTCTGCATCACATCTGACAGTTGTAATGAGAACACTGCTGGTAGAACGTGGATTAAATGATGAAGTTCCTCAGAATGAACATCACTGAAGGGCTGCAAGCAGCCATTTTACATGCAATCATATTATTATCAGATCAGCTGGAATCTCTTTTAGGTTTGCATATCACAGAACAGTGAAACTTAATCTTCTATATGTGACTGTGCACATATAGATTCACATTCTAGACACATTAATCCCTCCTGATGTAGATGTAATCTTTGAATTTGTTGGTAGAAATATTTTTTTACTGTGCTAAAACAAAAAAAAATAAAAATCAGGTAATACAAAAACCGTCCAATGGAGTCAAAAATATCAACCCAGATCCAGTATGCTCTTTGTTGCCCAATTTCTGTAGCTTTTTGGCAGATTATTAAAAGAAACATAATCCTCTGAATCAGCATTTCCAAAGCAAATCTAACTCCTACTTACGGCTGTCATAGCAGATGTTGCCAAGCGCTCGACCGGTTTGCAGTAAAACCTCCTGGTCGGTGGAGTTTAACAGCTGAACTAGAGGAGGGATGAGGCCGGCTTCCACACAGGGACTCCTCATGTACTCTGGAGAAAAGGGATCAGAATCCAATTACTAAACAGAATCAGAATTCTGATTCTGAGTTTATGTGATGGAACGGCACACATGGAAGAAGAAAGCCAGAGACGACACACAATGAATCCATTAACCTCGGAATAGCCACGGAAAAATGTGGTGGGCCAGGTTTTAGCTAACTCTCCTGTACAGGTATGTGTAACAGTGACATTTCAAACTGAAAACACAAGTTGATCAGGTCAGTTAATTTCAATTCAGTTTATTTTATATAGACCCGTAAAGAATTAAATACAAATAGTAATTAATGGTTTTACATCAGATTAAAGAAAAAAAATATCACAAGCAAGATGCAAAAAAATGAACTGCATAAACAACCCACCAATTTTTATGAATTAAAATCAAAGTGTGGTGTGCATTTGTATGTCCTACCTCAGATTACCTGCAGCTCTTCTGAGTTATGACTCTACCATGCTCTTTGTATCTATTAATGTAAAAAGTAGCTCTCTGAAAAATCCATTTCCAAGACTTGCTGCAGATTTGGATTTAGGTCTGGACTTTGACTAGACCATTTTAATCATATAAATATGCCTTGATCTAAATCACAGCTTCTCATTCCTTGCTATCAGAGTCCCCTCTAATCATGAGTGAGCATTTACTGCAGTAAAGAAACCATTCAGCTGTTCAAATATATTAGGGCTGCAATTAATAATTATTTTATTAATCCATTATTCTACTGATAGATCAAATAAAGAAATCTGCAGATTTTAAAAAATACATTACAGTGTATATAGTAAAAATGCAAATAAGGAAATAATTTAATTTATTTTTAAAGTGAGAAAACAAACATTTTATTGTATAAAATGTAGTAACGGTATAGCGTGAGTGAACGATACATTATTTGTGGCACAGGAAGTACCTGCAGCTAAAACAAGTGAAAAGCTCAGTTCTGTCTGCTGGGCTGAACATCAATAGAATGTAGGGCTGATCAGGGAATTTTCTATTTAATATCAGATTAATTATTTTAAATACAAGGTGTTTAGTAGGAGATTTTTTTTTTTAAATAGAATTTGAACCGGGTGACGCTAAAACTGCCATTTGAGTTCTGGGTAGAACATACTTGCACACAACTTATGTGGATTTAAGGTTTTGCCCACCTTAAATGCAAATTGTTTATACTTTCTGGACATGTTTGACTTAATTAATTTACATTAATTCTTTCAACAAATTGCCTTTTTTAGAGTCTGTAGTCTCCAGCTAACAATTACTAAATTACTAAATTAGTTGACAATTATTTTAATTGATTCATCGTGATGAGTCCAATTCATTGTTCCAGCCTTGAACAGAAAGGAAAGCTTCCACAACAAAAATCACACATGTGATACAAGATGCAGCTGGTGGAGTTTCAACCTTCAATCTACCTAAATAACCAACTGAAGGAATACACAGAGCTGTCTATAACACGACAGCCACTCCGCTGATTGCAGACATTTTCCGAAGCAATGACAGCTAAATGCCAGCAGATTGTTACCTGGCTCAGCTAACTGCATGCAAGTGATCATTAGCTGGTATCCTGCACAATGAGAATTCTTTGATTATCATAACTTTTCCTTGCTCAAGATTTATTCAGGTCTCCTATTCCTCTAAAAACTGTCATCATACAGAAAATGATGGAAAATCAACATCCAACTCCAGGATTTCCCCCAGTGCACTATAAGACTGGCGGCTTGATTATGTTTTTAGGATAATAAATAATAATAATAACAAAAACCCTTAATGAAAAAAAAAATGTTAAAACCGGATTGCAAGCGTCTCTGTTGCTTTGAGCATTTCACTGGCAGAGCAGGTTTATTCCTAAAAGATAGGTTTATAGAACATAGGTTTATAGTTGATGCATTTAAAGCCGGGATAGCGGACCAATCACACAGCTGGCACAGAGAGGCTTTGCCTCTCACACTGCCACTGCTTGATTTCTGAAGTTTACCTCAGTGCAGATCGCGCACGCCTTCTTTCACTCAAACTGCACACAGCCTGACCTGTATGAATATTTACATCAAGCCCCTGAGAGGAATTATGTTTCTTTGGAGAAATCTATGTCAAGGTAGGAGTTTAAAACCTACTGCGTTAGCTCTGGTTGTGCAGCTCTATATGAACTGCAGGAATAACTTTTAGTCCTGCTTTCAGTGGTTCAGGTTGAGGGAGTGATGAGAATGATTTATCTTTGTAAACAAAGAATTATGTGGGGCATTTAAATCTTAACACACTGCCCAGAGTGGCTCTGTCTTCCCTTTAAAGTTTACCTATGTGGTCCCAGTTGGCTAGAGCGTTAGTGGTTAACGAACCAGCGCTAACAACTCATCATGCAAGTTCCAGCCTGGTGAGGAGCTCTTGCCCTCAACTTGTAGTCACGCACGTCGTTGGTTTTATATAATTTTTAATATTATTTTTCCGGTTACACAATGCATCAAACCATATCGAATGCTTTGTCCACTTCATCAGCCAGAGTCAATGCACACATCTGCATGGAGATCTGAAAGTCTTGTCCCATAAAGTCTGAGCAACCAAAACAGTTTCTATGATGCTTATTGAAAACTCAACAGATACAAAATGGAAGAGCTACTAAAGCAACATTAGCAGGATTAAATTAAACCTCCCATTTGTAGCACATATTTGCACGCAGTGTAGCAGATTTAACTCCTCATGCAGGGCCGATCCAATGTTGTCTGAGGAAATGAGCTGTTGGAGCCTATTAAGAATTAGATTAATTTATTTTTTGCTAAATTATTACTGTTACAGATCTAAGGTTATGCAAATGGTAGATTATTCTTTATTCATTTGTTTTTCTTACACCCTCCTCCTTGTCAGTCAGCCTCCTGTTGTGATTAACAAGCAGAAGCAGTTGCTGTGGTTGATCTGATTGTTTGGTGAAGGAGTGAGGAGTGAAACAGTTTTTCTACCACAAAATTGTTTATTTAAATTTTTGAATGAAGTCAACTTGGAGAATATTTCTGTAATTTTTATAAGCCAGAAAACTCTCCGTAAGTGCTTTTTATTTTGAGTGACTCGAAAACCTCCTCCTAAAAAACTACTCTGGCATTTTTGTTTTTTGGCCCTTTTTATGATGCAAGAGTAGCCACAACATGAGTAGAATTTGTCTTATTGCTAAAAACATCAGCACCTCTTAATAGCTTCTGTGTTAGCTTTAGTGAACTCTAGGGGAGCGGGAATAGTTTAATTGGCCAACCTAAAAAGCAATAAGTTATAATTGTAGTTTTTTGGTATTTGTGAAAAAAATGGTGCTCAAACTCAAAGATTAAACTCAGAGCATCAAATTGTAGCTATGGTAACAAAACAATCTAACTGAAGATTGTTCTTTGCACTTTTCACAAAGTAAACTTGCCAGCTCCTTAAAATCTTAAATTTAAAGACTAAATAATTTAAAATCTTTTAATTTATGTATGCTGAAACCATTAAATCAAATTTAGCAGCATTGATACTCTCAATAAACAAATGTTACTTTTATGTATCTGTGGTCCGTCTTAGAATATTAGCATTATTTAACCCCCCATCATTTGGATTAAATAGAAATGCAAATAATTGATATTCATTTTAATTGTAGCTTTTGATTTGTTGTTTTTAAGATTAGTTATGGGTTTAAATAGCATTTCACTGGCGATGTTCTCCCGTAACCTATAATTACGCAGTAAGATTTTTACTTTTCCTGTCCGCTTAACATCTTTTAATATGAAAAACCCAGTGGAC